AACAAAAAACGGGGAGGGGGCGAGCTACAACTTTGTAGCTCGCCAGACACAGACCTGACAGCTCTGCTACCGTTGCAGGAGGGAATTAATAAGGCAGAAGGCCATGAAGCAGTTTATTATTTTTACACTCTTTTCATTTCGATTGATCATGCTGCTTTTGTTTTCAGTTTGAACTTTAGAGGTAGGGTGTCGTTTTGCCTTTTATTTTTTGCTCAAAACATTGTTGTTGGTGGAAGCGATAAGGCTTGTTTGGCCGTTAAAAGCTTCGAAGTTCTCACATGGTTAGCGAATAGTCTCGCTCTTTTCAGGGTGGTCTATTCTATGTCTAGTCAGAGAGTGGGAGGACCGTTTGGCTATGCGGAGCCTCTTTGGGAGGTTTGGCATGGTAAGGGTGGAAGAACATTGCTAAGTTTGATTGCTATAATATAATCAGTTTCCTTTCAAAAAAAGATTACAAATAACTATATAATTAGTTAGATCATGTATTTTTATATACTATTTTGTCTTCAGTTTATTTCAATTTTTCTAAATTTAAAAATTATTTTAAATTTAAATATGACTCCTCCTCTTCCTTCCCCTCCCAAATCCCCCAACCAAACTGACCCGAGGTGCTAAATTCAAGGATTATATAATCCTCTTTGTCAACTGTAGATGATAGTCTAGTAAATCCTGCTTGTAATGATCCAGTCTAGTGAATCTGTAAGATCATATTCTATTGTGGTCCTTTGTTCATACTTTAACAAGACAAAACTTCATGAAACCTTAAATTCCGAAAGAGGAGTCTCTGCTAGTGGATCTGGAGTTAGTCAACCCGCTCTAAGTTGCGGTGTCATTTACTCTATTGAGTTTACTTATTGAAATATGAATTCATACAGAAGATGAGCAAGCATGTGGAAAGTATTGAAGAAAAAAGATGAATCTTGATTAGCAGATTAGGGAATGAGAAAGAATGCAATTCTACGGACTTATTCTAATATGGTTCCCTCTATCAAAATCACAGAAGGATCTCATATTAATTAATTTTACATAAAGAGACAGCAAATAGAAGAAATTGTAAAATGACCCTATAACAAGAGTTTTATTAAAGACACCCAATAAGCTCCAATAGCAGTAGCTATATCTTTAAGGGGAAAATATCAATATATGACTAAAACATGTCCACTTTCGCATAATATGACTTAAAAAGTTTACTTACCATTATATGACTAGTAATGGGTGTACATTTCTACACAAGTCAATATATGACTTAAAAACTACACAAGTCATACATTAGGAAATTGTATCTCTTTTAGTGATACATGTGTTAATTTTCTCTATCTTTAAGACGCCCCCTCAAGCTCGGAAAGAGGATTTTCTAATGCTTTGATGTAAATTTCTACAAGTTGACAAGTACTTTTTATATGTATAAGATCAATCAATCCTAGTGCTGTTTTTCTCTAATTTAATGAAAATCCAATTCAATGCGATTTATTCTTTATTGTCGTATTGGGTTATATGCATGATAGATTGATAGCTATGTTAAATTGTTCTGTATAGATTGTATAGGTAAATAGACTTCACAGATTGCATTCAGCCTCAATAGAGGATCTACTGATTATTGCTCGTTTCTTTGAGACACTTCTAGTATCAATACAAGCTACCTAGAGAACTATTAAGGTATCTTAGGATTAAATGATTAGCAGTGTGATTAGAAAGAAATTGACGTAATAATGTTTGAATGCTCTAAGATATGTTTAGTCTGGTTACTCTTAAGTAGAGTAATCTACCAATTAATATTCTATAAGGCTCAGGATCTCGTAATTAAAGGTATTTCATCATTGTAGGAAAATTTAAGTTTAGGATCCATAGGTGTGAAGTTAGGTTTGGACTTGAGGTAGATATTAAAGTGTATTTTCATTGACATAGAGAAATTCCTTTTTTTATCTTGCTATTTCAATACCAAGGGAATTTAACTCCCCAAGATCTTTCATAGGAAATTTATTACTAGTATTAATTAAGGAATGTTTTTTCGGCACAAATTTTTTTCATATCATTTCTTGCAAGTATCAAATGATCAACATAGAGTAATGCTGATTAATAAAGTAGTAAAATAGTTACAATTAACTTTTGTAGATAGAGAGAAGTCATCTTGAGATTTTTTATATCTAACCAAAGACTTTAAGAGATTCTGAAAGCCTACGATATGATTGCTTTGAGGCTTGTTTGAGTCCATATAAACTTTGAGAAGTTTGTAGAATCCGGTGTCATCAGCAACTATATTACCTGGAGGAGGCTGTGTGTGTATATTAGTATATATACATTTTGAAAATAACTTCATTTTTATATATGTTTTGGCGCATTTTTTGAATAATTTATTTGACTAACTTTCGAATTGAATTTTAAGCTGAAATTTTGTAGAAATAATAATCCACATTTGATGAAGAATATGCTCATAAAATTTTAGCAAAAAAAATCACTCGGACGAACCTCAAATTGAGGTGGCCGGATGGCACTCCAGTCAGGTAATATGTGACCGGAAAATAGATCTCTCTCTATACACACACACATAGATAAAAGATCAAATACAAACATCTTCTAATTTACAAACTATATACTCATATTTTCCATCTGATGAGTTCATCTAAAAGCTATAGCAGCACAGTGACATTTTAGTAATAAAATCAAACTTTTTTCGGAGGCACCACTTTCAACGTTAATATGCACTTGTTTATTTCATTGCAGAATAGTATGCAACACTTTGGAACACTTCTACGCTATGCCTAGGGGTGGGCAAAAATACCGAAAAATCGGTATACCGCACTTACTGTACTGAAAAATACCGGAAAATATCGGAATATTGGTATACCGTCATTTTCGGTACGGTATGATACCGTACCGATTTATTTCGGTACGGTATGATACCGTACCGATTTATTTCGGTACGGTAACAGTAAATGTTTTCAAATACCGCGGTATACCGGTATAATACCGTACCGACTCTCTACCCAACAATTACTTTTAATACTAAAATATTGTAAAAATCCATTACAATTTTAAAGCCCAGATTAATACTTAGGTTGATTACAAATATCAAAATACAAAAATAAAGGCCCAATTTTCCAAAGACACTATAACCTTCTAGGCTTCTACAACTAACCCTAATGACTAATAAGTAATGTATTAATGTTCAGAAACAAGTTCATCTTGTTCCAAGAGTTTGCGAGTCGCGATGGCTGAAACGTTGAGTAGTTGATGAGTGAAGAGGGATAACATATGTGATGAATGCATCTACATAAGGATTCCGAGAGTCAAGACACACAACTTTATCTGAAAGTCTTATTCAAATATTTTTTAAAATTATAAAAATGAGTAAATACACAATATCATATTAGGAATCAATGATTTCATATCCATATTGTTTGAATAATTTTATTTATTTTTGTTAGAGATCACTACTGATTTAATTATATCTATATTGTTGAAGTTATTTTAGGAGAATGTGTTACTACGTATTTTTTAATACGTGACATGTTGGATTAGTTTTTTTGGAAGATTAAACTACTTAAATATACTAATAATAATTATTATTCAATATTAAATTGAACATCAATAGATTTTTTTTGTCTAATTGACATCAATAGATTATTAATTGTATTTTATAACATGTTAATAATAGATTAAATATGTCGCTAGTCACAACGATTTAGTATATTTCATTAGTTTATGATAATTTGTTGTATTGAGAGACATGCATGGTAATTTACCGATACTGTACCGTTACCGAACCGAAACTTCGGTATACCAGAATGCGGTATACCGAAACTTCGGTAAGATAACGGTATATAAATTTTGTATACCGTACCGAACCACCCCTAGCTATGCCACCATGAAACCTCGTCAGTGCCTTCTTGAATATCCTCCCGAAGTGTGTTATAAATTGGGGTAATAAATTGTGGGTAAGATAATTTATAAAGGGCATTTAGGACACTTTAGTGTAAAAAAAGTTATCAAATTAGGAAACGTAAAGATTTATTTGGGACGTTCCAAAAACGAGTATTATATTCATTAATGAAATGTACTTATAAGATCTTAGTGTGAATCGTGTGATGGTCCAATCTTCAAGTTTGAAGTTCTTATTGGTTGAGCTTTTTGTGTTATAATTTGCTTCACATCTAATACTTGCCTTTCAAGAGTCTCTTTAACATTTGATCCAAAAGGTTGAATGCTCAACTCCAAGTCCCTCCACCCCGACCCGACAGGATGGTGGGGAAGTTAATCACGATGACTCAGTCAACAAAATGACGGTAGGCCTTATACACGTGCGCATCAGAGGTCCAATCTTATTTCAGATTCCGTAACCTCCATACGAAGAGTCTCTTTAACAAACATGATTCAGACATGTTTTTTGTCAGAATGCTGAGATAAGAAGTGATGTTCTTAAATTTATACATTTAGAATTAATACCCAAGCTCTATTGAAAATATATAGTCAAGCTCTATTGAGAAGCAAAATTGGATTTGGATTTGATAAAATCGACACTCAAATTTAAGTAATGAAAATGGAATATTGTTTATGAATGATCGATAAAATTGTAACACAATTTAGGATAAAATTACTAAAAATTATTAATAACCTCACACTCTACAAACCACTCAGGATTTCCAAAGACAACATTAATACTACATATTATACATATATATCTAGGCTATGTTCGGAAGACATAATTCTCTGCCTTATAGTTTTTGTACTATTTAAAAAGTCTTTAAAATGTTTTAGTTGTATGTTTGTCATGTCATTTTTTAAGAGCTTTTATAAAAATAAAATATTTTTTTTTTGAGATGCTACAGTGAGTAACATTTCAGATAAGTCTGTAGCTTCTAGCATTAATTAGTTCCAACAGCTTGTATACCAAACAAAACTAAATTAAACAGTTAGTTTTTATCAAACAGCTAATGCCTTTTTTTAAGATATTTTCAATCATTAAAAGCTAACGATTACTAAAAAGCTCATAAAAATATCATCTCAGGTTGTTGTACCAAACATACCCCTAATCATCCGGTATTCAAAGTCAAAGGAAAGAGCGCATAACGGTAATTACGAAATCATTAAGGTAGATTCTATGGTACTCATAAGGTACCATACATTTGTCCACATGGACCAATAAAAACGTTGCAGTTGAATTATTTAAGTCTAAATTAAAAATGATATACCTATTTGAACCAATCAAGTGAATGACAGGTACGGTACCCTATTTTTTAAATGGGTACCGGAGTTCTTACCGACCATTAATTAATGAATTAATGATAGTTCAATAAGCAAAGAGTTACGGAGTATTAAAAGGGAAGTGTCAACTGATCAAGTAGTGCAGTTACTGGTGTAGCTAGTCTTGGTTCATATGCAAACCCATGCAGCTCGACTCCTCCGCCTCCTCCCCCTCTGCCGCCGCCGTGTACGGATGAATCTTTATGAACAAAGGGGCAATGAGGGACCCACGCCCACTTCTTGGAGTTGAATTCGTACAGCACAGCCTTGTCTGAATTCTTGATAGTTATCACCACAAAATTCCCATGGCCTACGCAGTTGAACCCCTTCCCATTCTCCATTTCTGTGAACTGAACATAGAGCTGTTGAGGCATCCTCTCGATCTCCACCCACATGGTCCCACAATCTTGGAGGGACCACAGCCTCAGACTTCTTGGCACGTTCAGCTTGCTCTTCTCCACCGCAGCAACCATGATCAGCCTTCCTCCGCTCTCCACTAAGCTTGGGGAGCGCAAGAATCGCCTCATCGGGGGTTGGATTTTGGACCAGGTGTTCGACGAAATGCCGTAGAAGAGGACGCTGAATGGGCTGGAATTCATGCAGTAAAATCTCCCCCCTGCAAACACCATATTGCCTGATTCGAAGCTGCACAGTCTTGGGAGAGCAGAGGTGGTTCCCCATATGGAGTAAAACCCATTTGTGTCCACGTGGAAGCTCTCTGTTGTTAGATTCTTCACTGCATAAGGAGATGTCAAGTCATCTCCGGCAACCACCAGGTCTATTGAAGAGCTTGTGATGTTGGATCCAATCGAAGGGAAAAGCCTAGGCCTTAAAGTCGGGGCAATCGGGACCAAAGACGGTGACCCGACGAGGGGATTGCATAAAAGGATGTTCTTTGAGCCCGCCTCATGCGAAACCCATCCGATCAATCCACCGGAGGAAGTGGCGGGATAAAACCCGGTCGGGACGAAGGGGAAAGAGAAGCGGTACCATGTGAGTGTCTGAGGATCAAGCAGGTAGCCTTCATAAGTCTCCCTCTCGGACTCATCATTCCTATTGCTGCTCTGAGAAATGTAGGTCTTCAAGCTCTTGTGTTTGAAGAATATGAACCAATGGCAGTGTGGAGAAACTTGGAGATATAATTCAAGAAACTTGCTGGAGAAGAGAAGGCTGTACCATCTCTTGCAGACTGATCTTGAACGGAAAAAAGCCGGCGGGGGGAGGAAGGCAATGATCCTATCAATCAGCTTGTGAGGGAGCCTGCTCCAAATTCTACTGTCCATCCTACAAGTGCTTCTGGAAAGAATGTGATTTCCACTGCTACTGGTCCTACTACATATGTTCATTACTGTGGTGGGAAAGCCATATGGAAAGGGAATGCCAATCTGGGAATGGAAAGCTTCCATTTTGGAGCTAGCTTTAAAAACAGGTTGAATTGGCCTGGTTTTGGAAAGTTAAAAACTGAGGGCAAAGGTTTCTACTTTGGAGAAAGAAGGTAAGCTAAGGTAAATTGGGTAATGCAAGACCATTATATATAGATAGATGCATATATAAGTCTTGGCAGGAAGGAAAGTGAACTCAGAATTGATTTTCTTCTTTTTGCTTCACTTTGTCTTCTTTTACACTTTGGTTGCTTAGGGTTTTGTAGGAAATTAGATGAAGCTAGTGAAAGCTAGCCCTCCCCTATAGTGTTTTCTTGTCAAGCTAAGTACAGTTCACACTCACACACATGCAATAATAAAGGAACACCACAGGTTTTCTATGCCACTCCTATGTCCAACAAACCCTAGTACACATCTTGGGAATTTAATTCCATGCAGTTTTTTTCTTGATCTTCTTGGGTATTAATTATTACTTCTATTTACTTCTCCCATAACTGAGTGTTTCTAGTTAATTAGTTTAACTTCAATACTAGTGACGTTAGCATGGCCTTTGATATAGTGGCAGGTAATATATAATTTATGTGCATATATAGATGGTTCAAATTAAACCCTCTTTATAACATTGGTAAATTTTTTTGTATACTCCGTAAATACTCGGAGAAAATAATATACGGAGTAGCATTAATTAAGGAACGTTTGTTACTTTGATCTGAAAAAATGACACTTCATACCTAAGTTGCGTTTTAATCTCACTCTGATGAAAGCGAGTAAGGTTACATCTCAAATCATTGATTGAAACTAAACTCGAAACTTGACACTTCTTCCTACCAGGTGATGCAGGCCCGATTTTGTAACGTTGATCTAAAATCGGACCAAATGATATGCGCATGCCTGAACGAATCATTGATAACAAGAGAATTAGAACCTCACATCCGGTGATCTGGATTGAAAAACTTTGTGTTTACCAAGTAGCAATTCTACTCCCCGCTTTTTCATCGATCAATTAATTTGTTGTTTTCTAGTTTCTAGTTAAATTGTAACCTTTCCAAGACAAATTGATACTTCATCGTCTTTTAAAATTTTGTCAATTTTTCTTTCATGGTTATCTCATTAACTTTGTCATTTTTCTCTCTACCTAATGAATTTGTGATTCTAGTTAATTCTCTCTCTTTTGCACAAACTTCAATCATACAATTTTTACTTTATGAATTCTCGTGCCGGTCAAACTTGGCAAAATTTTAAGGGACAGATGGAGTACTACGTCTGATGCCCTTACACTCGTCTAGATATTCAAACAAGAGAGTGATATACTGCCTCTGTCGCACGCACTAACATTGGGACATGATAATTAAGGTGGCACGATTATTAAGAAAAGTGTGCTTATGTTGTTGAATAAAGCAAGAATGATTTAGGGCTACACGAACTTTACCAATTGTGGTATGAGACCACTTAGTGGGATTTCCCACAAACGAAAAATGACCAATCTTAACGGGACGCAGGAAGTAGTTTTTTTGAAGAGGAAATCGCCTATATTGATATCATTAGAATCGGGATCGTTACATCAATATCAAAATGACCACCACTCACTACAATCTTCACCTTCCAACTACTACTTATAGTCCTACGATTAGACATAGACCCGATCACCCCTAAAGGAGAAATATGAATCGCTAACCACTAGACGGACTTGATGCAACTACTGCTGAATAAATAGATCTGTCCCCCAGTAACCATATCAAATCTAGCCGAAACCTCAGTCTTCGTAATAAACCTAGTATCATGAACTTTAACAAAAAACAAAACGATAAAAACAAATTTCCTTATTAAAAAACTAAACCTTAATAAAAGGAAATTAAAAAAGATAAACAGATGGATCAGATGACCCATGACGGCGGGAACCCTAGTCTCACAAATCCTCCATGGCGGCAGTTCAGGAGGGGGCCGGGTCATTATCAATTCATCTTCATCCTCCATCGCTTGGATCCCATTCAAAGCCCTTGACGCCGTAGCCTCCGCTAGGAAAATTTCATCCTCATTAATTTGAGAAGAAACCATCCATAACATCACTGTCAAAATTGACAAAAGAAAAAAGAACCCTAGAAATCCTAGGGAAGAAAACACCACTCATACGAGTGTATAGACCACTTTTTTAAGCTAGATGGACAAGAGTCTTTGTCGTTCCTCTCCAAACGATGGCTCACCCTTCTAGGGTTTCCCACATGCGGCAGCAGCCATGCGAGAAAATGCTAGACGGAGGAAGTAGTTATTAAAAAATAAAATTATTTAATTGATACTACCTTCGTCCCAAAAAGATTGACCAATTTGACTTTTCTTGGTCATTGATGTTAAAGTTTAGATAATGATTCTAGGTATTACTCCGTATTATATTTGTGTGAAATTTATAAGTTTTATACTTTTATGAAAGATTTTTTAATAAAAAATATGCTCATATGATTTCTATATTTTAAATAATTTTCTATTAAAAGATATATTTCATTGTTGAAACTCAATCACCATTGATCAACAAAGATCAATTTGACTAATCTCTTTGAGACGAGGGAACTATTAAACTAATAAATTTTGAATAGAGTGTAAAATAATAATGAATTACAACCAAAGAGTAGTATCAATGTTATCAAACACAGAGTACTTTTTTGTTAATGTATTATCAAATACTCATTTTGGACGAGAGTATGAATTTGGAGACACTAGTAGAAAAAGGCCTTACAGTGACACCAAATTAGTGTCACTGAAAGTTTCTGTGACACTAAAAAAGTGTCGCTGAAAGTGGGGGTTAGTGACACTACAAGTGACACTTTTTTAGTGTCACTACAAGTGTCACATAATTGTGACACTAAGACATCACAATATAGTGACACAGTGACGACATAGCTATTCGGCGACACTTTTACATCATATACTCCAGTGACACTATGGTATCACAGTGTTATGACACTATAGTATCATGAAAACATACACATAATACATCAGTTTTAATATATATATATATATATATATGTGTGTGTGTGTGTGTATAATTTAATACTAATAAGTAACCAAAATTTGAAACATTTTTATTTATATATCAAATTCTCACATAAATGTGAATGTACATACTACATAATTCACAGGGGCATACCCCGAAACAATAATAAGTAATAAAAAATAATAAAAAACTAACTAGTCTAACTAGAAGGCTGAAATGACTCTAGAAATGTATATGGAATATATATTATCATAGTTAAGCATCGTATGCCTCAAGAGTACATTTTAATGTCGTCTGCTAAGCAAGAGTACATATTAGTGTCGTCTGCTAAGCAATGTATGCCTCAAGAGACGACTTTGCAAGACACAGGAGGCCAGGATCGTCTCTTTTCAGGAACAAGCATTCCTCTCTTCTTATACAAGTGCATAATTTCCACTTTCTCTAAGCAACTGTAAACTGAAAAACCTGATGGAAGCAAGAGAATAACAATCTTTGCCTGTTTTGTGGAGTATCTTCCTACAAGTATATGTGAAAATTCAGTCACTATTCACATTTCTATATAAGAAAATTTAAAGAGTTCTAAAAAAGATTGTAGAAAGAACTAATTCACCTTGGCATACATCAATTCTTTCCAATATTCTTCCATGGTCCATTGAAAATTAAGAATGAAGTGGGCTATAGTTGTTTACAAAAGGAATAATTGACAAGAGTAATCCCAACTATGAATGGTCTGCTTGAAATAATCCATACTTGGGCATTATCAAAAGTCAAATAAATAAACAACCTCATGATCAGAATACTTACCATGTCATAGATTTTTCTTGACCCAACTAACTTGATAACTTTTCCTAAGATCACCAAATAGAGAAGAAAAAACATATAACCATTAGAACTTAGGTGACTTATTAACTTGAACCAAACAGATTCAAAAGGATTGAAGAGAAATCATATTGACAGAACCAAACAATATTAGCTTGAACCAAAATGATTGTCATTACCCTGTGACGATATTCTTAAAAATAGTTCAGTACTGTAGTTTAATGCCATCTCATAAGAAGCAAATTACTTACGTTAGTGCACCAAAATCCCTCAAATAAAGTGACTACAAGAGAGTTTCGAGCAGCCGGAAGAGCTTGCAAATATATATTGAAAAATGAAAATTAGTTTATAACACTAAATATCTGCTAGCTAGGATAATAAAACTGACCAAGAATTAAGAAGGAGCAATATAGAAGGTTTTGTCACCGAGATTTGAGAAGAATATCAACAAGAATGCTTGAGAAAAGCCATAGCAAAAAAAGCTAAACCCACTGCTGCTATTGTAGGAGCAACCCCAAGGTTTACCAACCTGCAATCGTTTGATCTTCGAATATGCCAAAAGTAGTACGGAGTAATTTCTAAATTGATAAGTAAGTCAAGAAACAGAGAGTGAAATATTAGATGATTCAAATATGCCAATTATGCATTCCCCAGACCTCCCTATATAATATCCTACCAAATCAACTAAAGGTGCATAATGTATATTAAAAGAAATACATATTAACTTGCTTAAGAAAAGCAGGCATCAAACCACTTAAACAAAAAATGCTCTGGAATATTAAATCAACAATTATAGCAGCACCTTGTAACTCCCTAATTATGAGCTTAAAATTCTGAAACAGACGACCACGAAATCTTTGCATTAGTGGGAAGTTTGTAAATTTGAAAGAAAAATTGAACGCAGGTTATATGCAATTGAATAAGAAGTATCCATTTCACACAATACAAAACAAAATCAATATCCTTGTGTGAAACTTCATATCATAAAATAAACTATACTGAAGAATCTGTTTTGGCCAATAAATCCTTGAAAATCAAAATGATATAACATTCAACATTCAATTTAGGAATAAGTAATTACAAGTATAATCGAAAGGCAAGCCGTGAAAATTGGGATTTGACAATGCACTGAATCCCTTGTTATACACTTATACTTATTCCTGAGAATAAGGTTTTTTCTTGAGGCTTGCCCTCTTGTTTGGGTACGACCGGACAATGTACCTCTTCTGTAATCATCAGTGCAAGTCTTGTACTCAAAATCTAAGTACATATCAAAACTATCAAGCAACACCAACAACGATTTATAAGTACACATCACCTTCACATCATCAAGTCTGCACAGCAGCCTCTTTCAACAATGAAAAATGACAAAAGTAGTAATAAAACATAACTCGACATAACAAATCACAAATAGTAAAAAAGTGTTAAAAACAAAGGGAAGAAATGTGAGTCTTAATGAAAACAGCTCAAATAAATGTGAATAAAGGCAAGAAACAATAACCAAATTATAAGGGAAGAAAATTGCAATAGCTAGGAAGAGCCAATTACCATTCCAAGACATTCTTGTAGTCTTCCAGGATCTTTTGAGAATTAATCATTGCATTCCTAAGTGACAAATGACCAAAGAAGCCAATGTGCTTGGAAACTATGGATGGAATTAGGAGCAAAAGTTATGTTACTTAAAGACCATCAATAAAATAAGATGCACATAAGTTGTAAATGTTCAGGTGTTAGAAAATGACACTATTCATTTCTTGTAAAACCTATAATAATAAGCATATAGATCCTGGAAGACTACAAGCAAGCTCTAACCTTTTAACTATGTACATCCCTATGAATGTTTTGTATCCATTTCAGCTTTAGACTTCTGTAGTCCAATCAGATTCATATTACTGTGCTCATCTCTTAGATGATTCTGGTTCAAGGATAAAATGAATATTCTGAATCCATTTCAGCTTTTGATTCCTTGCATTGCTGGAAGAATGAGGCCATCCCAAATTACTTTCACAAAGTAAAAAAGTAATACATACAAGAGATCTCTAATACTCAAGTTCATATAAAAGCTGAAATACTTCAAAAATACATACTCATCAAGCTCATATAAACATTTCATAAGTTCTAATTAATAAACTAATAAATTCTCATCTGTGACCACTTAAGTAACTGAGTTTGTTCATATTTCTACACAGTGCTTTCTTAAGCTTAACAAAATCTTAACACAAACAAAACTGAACCCACCACCAAA